ATTATTTGGCGATGTCAGGGTTGCTAAAATAGTATTGATTATGAAATTAATTAATAATATTGTTAAAACATATGAAGGGATTTCTGCTTTTTTATTATGAAGAAAAAAATCACGAAGGAAACAACTTATAAATGAAGATGAAATAATATAAAGTTATTTATGCATATTATTTTATGGTAATAAAAATAATAGGAATGAGAGTGTCTCTGGGTAATGGCAAGATAGTATCATGTTTTATAGCATAGCAGATGGATGGGTAATAATTTTCTTGTATTGTCTTGCTGGTTTGTAGTAAAAATTGGTGTCGTTCCGTTATGAGCATTGAGCTATTAGAAGTTTAATGTTTTGTGGATTTGACTATTTTTCTATCCAGGTAGATAAATTTATTTTTAATGTCATATATATTTTTTAATCTTGTGGAAACAATATTATATTTCGTCGTAACATATTTTATGTTTTTAGGCTTATGCTTGGTAAGTATTGTAGTTTCAACCACAACCACTAATAAAACTGATCATATGTGGTATAAAGTATATTTGGTGAGAGTTTTAAATTCATTAAACTTGATATGTTATAAGCATTAATAATTCATTGACATACAGTTGTACTCAATTTTGTTGGTATTAGTGAAATCTAACCATTCCCTCAAACTTATGATAACTTATGGAGGCAAGGGAATACACACATGAAGAAAAACATCGTAGGTGGCAGAGAGATATGTCGAGCATCACCACACTTTTAATTAAACGAAATGCAATTCCTTATGGAAAAAAATATTTATATTGTTTATAGGATTGAATGTACCACGCCATAATTTGTGGTACTCATATTTTTTTTATTTTGCGAGTAGTGGCGAAAAACCATTAAATAAAAAAATAAGTGGTCAAATGAGACTCCTAAATTGTGTCAGATTAGATAAGCACCTCGAGAAATTGGTACAAATAACCAATACCCTCATTGCGAGTCGCCATCTAGATGACATGTTCGACTTGTTCTCAGTAACATTTTTCAAAAACTCAAGGAAGAGGATATGAATAATCCACCAACTAGTTGGTTGGGAGTGCATCCTGACGTTAGGATACCCAAGTGCATGATCCGCACCATAATATGTAGAGGCGTAGATGCATTATGAATGGGCTCAGTTGGTACACCCATTAATTGTTGAATACAGATTCAAGTTCAATTCATATGCAGCCAAATTAACAAAATAGTGTACTCCTAACTTACTTAGGATCGATTAATTTCATGATTTTTTTTTTTTTATTATTTTTTTATTTTTTTTAACCATTAGTACTTTTGCCAGCGTTGGGAAATTTCAACTTTTAGTCTGTACTTGAAGATTTTGGAGGTGGGACCCAGGGTCGGCAAGTCCCACAAATCTTGGTTTTCTCTTGCCCACATTTGAAAGGAAAAGGAAAAAAAAAAGTTTTTTTTTTTACTCCAATGATGTCGGACAACTTTTGTAGGAGGTTGTGCTCACAGTATTCCTCTACAAAATGCATCTTACAGCAAAGACCATTACATTTTGAAACTTTTGTTTTCCTTTTTATCTTTCTCGTTTGTTTGTTATGAGTCCCCTGCCAACGAGGCAAGGCATAATCCGTAATCTGCTCTAGTTGTGTTTTCCTCAGAGGATTGTAACGCTGATCATACTGACACTTAGAGGAATATATCTGGCAATTTTCACGACTGAATCCGTGTTTCCGTTTTCTTTTCCTTGTTTTTTATTTTTGGAATCTGACTATCTGAATCCGTAATCTGTTCGAGCTGTGTTCCCTCAGAGGATTGTAACCCTCATCACACTAACACTTAGAGGAATGTATCCAACCATTTTCATGGATGAATCTGTTTTTTTTTTTTTTTTTTTTTTTAATCTGACAACTTGGGCACGGGGCTGAGATGCCCTCACTAAGGGCACACTCACACTACCACTTCCAATAATGTATACAATTGCAATCACGGCCATAACTTTGTTTTTTTGTTTTGTGACTTTTTTGTTTTTTATTATTCCCGTGAGAATATAATAAAGAAAATGGAGTGGGACCCAGGCTCAACAAAACTCGGAGCACAGTGAAATTTAGGGTCGGCAAAAACAGGCTCGGAGGTAGAGGTGGTTTAAAAGTAAGCTACATTTTTCTCTCAATTTCTCCTCGCGCTACCTACCTACATTACTCCTAAATTCCTAATCATAGTCATACAGGGAACCCCGTAGCAGTGAAAACCGTGTTCACGAGAAAAAATGCGGGGGCTGCTTCCAATCTGCAGGTGGGTGATACCGGCCAGGGGACAGCTAGTGGCATCATGGACCATGCCAACAAGACCAATTTTGTGCCTACCCTCAGGCCCCTCCCGGGGGATCCAGTGGTCTATCTCTAGGTGGCGGGCGCCAAGCATGCCCAGGAAGGTACATGAGGCAATGGGGATTGAACCCATTGACCTCCTGAATGTCGCTTGCCAGCCGACTGGATTTTTTGTTTTTGGGATAATATGCAATATACCCCCATAAATGCCCCTGAAAAATGTTGGCAGAGTAGAATGCCCATCTGACAAAAAAATATATTTTGTGAAATACCCCTGGCGTAGGTTGGACTCCCCATCTTTGCAATATACCCCTATTGGCTACCGCACAACTTTGCAAAATGCCCTAGTACTTGGCAACTTTTCCTAGGCAAGATTGCAGAAGCCCAAGGGCCGAACGGGGAGGTCCAGATTGCAAATTTGCACACCCGCCTAACAGAGGCATAACACACAAATTTCGGCCCAAAAGGGCATTCCGCTCTACCCACATGTTTTAGGGGCATTTTGGGATATATCTCAGCTTACAGGGCATCTTGCAAATTATCCTTTTTTTTTTTTTTCCAATATCTCAAGGCCGTCGCCCTTTTTATAGTGAAAAAAAAGAGAAAATTTGTCTGGCGCCCCTGTAATTTGCGTTATTTCGCTGGATTGGATGTCAACCTGTGGAACTATTGGACAAATTGCATGAGTTTTTTTTTCCTTATACTTTGCAATTACGCCTTACAGTATCGACGCAGTGATCAGTTAAATTTATAGCGCGCCCCTCCGGTGGCCGATTTACCCTGTTGCGCCCCTGGGCGAAAAAATATTTTCGGCAGGCCCTTGTCGGTAGTGACCGCAACTTTCCAGGACGCCCTCCTTGGACTGACGGTCGGGCGCTGTGCCATATGCCCTCATGACGGGCAGCCATTTTTCTGCAATGCCCCCGGAGCCGTGAGGCATCACAAATTCGCATTTCCATCAGGCCCTGTGCCATATCGTCCTCTTCCCTGCAAGTGTGTGTGTGTGTGTGTGTGTGTGTGTGTGTGTGTGTGTGTGTGTGTG